TGCAGTGCAGTGGCACGCCCACAGCCACTGCAGCCTCGACCTGTTGGACTCAGGTGATCCTTCCACCTCAGCCTTCCAAGTAGCTGAAACCACAGGCATGTACCACTATGCCCAGCTAATTTTTTTATTTATTGTAGAGACGAGGTCCTGCTATGTCGCCCAGGCTGTTCTTGAACCCCTGAGCTTAGGCAGTCCTCTGCATCTGCCTCCCAATGTGCTGAAATTACAGGTGTAAGCCACCGTGCCCAGCGGAAACAGAATATTTTATTTATTTATTTATTTTTTTGAGTTTGAGTCTTACTTTGTTGCCCAGACTGGAGTATACTGGCATGCTCCCGGCCACTGCAGTCTCCACCTGCTGGGCTCCGGCAATCCTTCCGCCTCAGCCTTCCAAGTAGCTGGAACTACAGGCGTGCGCTACCATGTCTGGCTAATTTTTTTGATTTATTGTAGAGATGAGGTCTCACCAAGTTGCCCAGGCGGGTCTTGAACCTGCGAGCTCAGCCAATTCACTCACCTCAGCCTCCCAAAGCGCGGGATTACAGGCTGAGCCACTGAGCCCGGCGAAACATAATATTTTAGAAGTACCCTCAGGTTAGGAAGTCATGTCAAGGACTTGTCATCAAACTGTCTCTAATTTCCACCTGAGAAGGCTGATTAAAGAATAAAAACTGTAATACATATTTATTTGTGTGAATTCTTTTTTTTTTTTAGTTACAGTCTCACTCGGTCGCCCAGGTTAGAGTGTAGCGGCCTGCTCATGGCCACCTCAGCCTCAACTTGCTGGGTTCAGGCAATCCTTTCCCATCAGCCTCCCAGGTAGCTGGAACTACAGGTGTGAGTCACCATACCCAGGTAATTTTTGTGATTTATTGTAGAGATGAGGTCTCACCAAATTGCCTAACCTGGTCTGAAACCCGTGGGCTCTGGCAATCATCTCACTCCAGCCTCCCAAAGTGCTGGCATTATGCAGTGGCATGAGCCACTGTGCTTGGCTGAATTCATGTTTTTTGAGGTTCCCCAAAAGGTCCTCCTGAGCCTTCTTTTCATAAGGTTGGGAAACCCTTGAAGCCAGGTATTCTAAAACATGGTTGCTTTGGGGATTAAATTTCCAACACATGATTTTTGGGGGATACATTCAAACCATAGCAGTAGGTTATCTCCCAAGAAGCCTGACAATAGTCATATATTAACAAAACCAGGTTTATTCTTTAGGTCATGACCAAGTTACCACTATCATTATTGAATTGATCTTGCTCACTGTTAACTCTCAGAGAAAGATCGATCAAGAGCTGACCCATCTCTGAGAATCAAATTCACATTAGCCAACCTCAACAGAGTGTATAAAACAGTACATACTTACTAGTAGATGTGTATGGGAAATCAAATTATAAAGTAAATTAGCAAACATGGAACCAGAATAAAGGATAATTCATTTGAAGAATGGAAAGTTTCAGGGCATCATAGTGCAATTTTTTTTTTTTTTTTTTGAGTTCGATCTCACTCTGTCGACCAGGCATGCTCATGGCCACCGCAAACTTGACCTGCTGGGCTCAGGCGTTCCTTCTGCCTCAGGCTTCCAAGTAACTGGAACTATAAGTGCAAGCTACCATGCCTGGCTTATTTTTTGATTTATTGTGGAGACGAGGTCTCACCAAGTTGGCAAGGCTGGTGTCGAACCCCTGAGCTCAGGAAATCTTCTGGCCTTGGTCTCACAAAATGCTGGGATTACAGGCTTGAGCCACCATGCCCAGCCCATAGTGCACTTTTAACAGGCTTGCTCTTTCCTACAAATTTTAGATAATTCCCTTTGTTTACAGGCCATAAGGCATACCTCACTGTAACTATCTCTCAAGTACTAACAACAAAACCAGATTTATTCTTTAGATCAGAACCAAGTTACCATTATCTTCTCTTTGCATAATCCAATCTTTGAAAGTAGTTCCCCTTTCTTCCCATCCCCTACTCCCCCCACATTTGGAGTCTCACTCTGTCAACTAGGCTAGAGTGCTGTGGAACTGATGGCCACTGCAACCTCGACCTACTGGGCTCAGGCGAACCTTGTGCCTCAATATTCCAAGTAACTGGAACCACGGGCATGTGCCACCACACCTGGCTAATTTTTTGATTTATTGTGAGACAAGGTCTCGCCAAGTTACCCAGGCTGGTCTCAAACCCCTGGACTCAGGCAATCCTCTCCTCTCTGCCTCCCAAAGTGCTGGGGTTACAAGCATGAGCCACCATACCTGGCTAAGTAGTTCTTCTTTCTTTTTCTTTTTTTAGTTGGAGTCTCACTCTATTGCCCTGGCTGGAGTGCAATGGCATGCTGCTCATAGCCACCATAGCTTCCACCTGCTGGGCTAGGCAATCCTTTCACCTCAGCCTTCCAAGAAGGTGGAGGAACTACAGGTGTGCACCACACTGACTAATTTTTTTATTTACTGTTGTAGAGACAAGGTCTTGCCAAGTTGCCAGGCTATCTGGAATCCATGGACTCAGGTAATCCTAACTCTAACCCTACCCTCCCAAAGTGCTGGGATTATAGGCGTGAGCTACCACACCTGGCGAGGCCATCTCTCCTTTTTTTTTTTTTTTTGAGTTGG